AAGCAATTGACACACATGAGAAGCATCTAGCTATATTTTAATTTTAAAAATAATTATTTTGTACCCAAATGATCTGATAAAATCTCACATTTACTTGCAACCAATATGGTCATCTAACTAGTCTACTGTGGTGAGAAGAATACCACAAAGCTATTATCAAGTTTAACATGCCCTTCTCCCATTCTTCCTCTGTCCCATCACTCCTGACTTTGGAGGCTTCCACAGCCCGACTTGACTGGCTGGTGTGTTTGGCCCCAGAAGTAGTGTTTCACTTCTGCCCTGGGCTCTGCACACCCCTATGGATTGCTCTGCACAGTGGAATAATTTTTGAGCTACAAAGAGAAAGTCTATATAGTCCAAGGGTTAGCCTGAGAGGGGGCAGATCTTGGATCTAGTCACCTTGCTCTAATCACTCTTTTGTTAATAAATCTGGAGCTCATCAGCTTCAAGGGGAGACGTTGAGAGTCCTCTACATTATAATTGCTCCTGAGAAGTTGTTCAAATTCTTTCTCCCTGTCTTCCAGAGAGAGGTGAAATTGAACTCAGGTCTCGTATGCCCTAGCTGAAGGCCCTAACCACTGAGACAAGTTACCAAGTGGGTACTACTTTTTCTCTGCTGGCTGATTTTCTCTAGTGAAACTGGTGCCTATTTCACTCCCTCACAAAGTAGCTTAACACACAGATGGCTTAATTCCAGGAAACCCATTCCCCATTCGTGATTCTCTAAATGGATGTAGGTGCCTTGATTAAAGCCCTACCTGGGAGATGGACAGAATTTAGCATTCATTCCTGTTGTCAGGATATCTTATTAGCTAGATTAGTTGGGGAGTCACTTACCTTGGAGACCTGAGTCAAAGCAAGTACCCCTATACAGATTCCAACAAGAGATAGAGGGATGGATATGGGTATGTGCCCTGTCTCACCTCTGGGGAGTGGGATAGTGGTGTGGGAACTTCCTTCACTTCCCAACAAGAGCACAGATGGACAGAGTGGGTTGGGGTACAAGAGTACCCATTTTTACAAGGCCACCCAATTGGCTGAGTCTCCTGGACATGGACTCTGTAGGCCCAGTGGCCAATCATCCACTGCTTTTGTGGATCACATTCTTAGTTAGGTTCCTAGGGAAGCAATAGCTAACTCAGACTGTGGGTCACAATGGTTTTTCCGTGATAGCTAAAAGTTAGGTGCCATGATGCTCAGCACTGTGATGCCTAATCTCTTTGTGATTCCTCTCTTGTGCTTCATTCCACCATCTGCAAATGGGAATAATAGAGCTCCCTCTACCTCACAGAAAAGGACTTTTGCTCTGAACTAAATTTAATATTCCTTTACTACATTCAAGTATAGAGTATACAGGCATGATATATTTTATGTTACAGAAGTATGACCAGGTCCTGCAAATACATAGAGCCCACAACAAATCTAATTCCAGTGAGGCTTTGTCTGGGTGCAATGGTTTGTACTAGTGAATACATTATCATCATCCAGGGCTATAAGGAGTAAATATTTTGTAACAGACATTGTTACAGCCTGGTAGTCCATGACACTATGGAATTAACAGATTATTTAATCACTAGAATTAATAATTAGTATAGCAACTATCTAAAATTATGTTCTATTTGCTAATTTACAGTAAGTATGGTAAAAACATTCATCATGATAAACCAATTACCTATTAATATACATGACATAGTTATTATTATAAGATTTATATTGTAATTCAGCATTGATTAACTGGACCATTATTTTAAAGTGCTACAAGAATTATGCAACGTACCTGTCTGTTACCACCATGGCTCTCAGCTGTGCGTAATTTATGCTCATTACAGTTTCCATGGATACATTTTTAGCTATGTATGCAAATGTTTGATCATCTGTTATTAATAAATCCAAATAAATATGTTTATTCCAGAATACAATGAAACTGAAAGCACGCTGCTGTATTCCTCACCAACTTTAATTACCAGGTTGTTTTAGGGTGGCAATTCCTTATTTAGCAGAGGAAGCCACATTCTCCCAACTAAATGAAAATAGAAGTAAATAGTCTTGGTCACTTGGTCAATTAACAGTCTAAGAGTTTCCCAACATTATTTATAAATTGGACAAAAACACATACACACCATTAGAAAGTCTAATATAATTTTTGCTATAGCTTCTAGTTGTTTTCGCCAATCTGCTAAAATCAACTCGGGCTTCTCTGAATTAAGCCTTAGCTAAATTTTTATCATTTATGCATGAAATGGAGATACAAAGCTGAACTTTAATAAAAACACTTCAACCCGTGCCTTCTCACAGCCCTAAATACATTTTGAGCACAAGGTGGAACTCCAACTGCAAGAGTGTCTAAGCAGAAAAACAATCTTCTCTCTGGGATTCGTTAGAGTAGAGAATAAAGTCCCTGCTCTCACCCAAACCCTCATACAAGTGGAAATACATGCAATTAATGGTACCAATCCAAATATGAGATCTGATAATGAGCATGAATAACTATTTTTGGTCAATTACCAAAACAAACAAACAAGCAAACAAAAAACCATCCATCCCCCCCAAAAAACAAAAACATTTAAACCCAGTGCTATATAGGTAGTTTTCACTGCCATCATCAGGTACTAGGAAAGATTGGCAAAAATCAAGAAGATCTGTACCTCTGAAAGCTTAACCGAAATCAACAATTACAGATGCAGGTAAACCACTGGTTAGATTGTCAGAATCAAATTCAGCTTTCAACAGTAGAGGTCATAAAGACTTAGTCTACACTAGCAAATGTTTGCTCTAGAGCTTTCACTGAGTAACTCTATTAGTGGACACACAGTTTGTCTGCAAAATAATTTTTTCGTCATTCTAAGCTATTGCTAGTTAAAGTAACAGTGTTTGAAATAAGGGTTTTACCAATTTGGAATTGTCATAAAAATTAACCCTCTAACTGACATTAATATACTAGCAGAATAGAAATGCTTAACCAAATATGATTTTTCAAGAGCTCTGAGAACTCTGTCCTCCTTAAGAGGCCTTGGTTGCTCCACAAACTATAGCTTTTTGGGAACCAATGTTTTCTTCCCAAGGGAATTCTGACACTTTGAAAAAAACAATTCTTCCTAATCAGAAGAGGTCAAAACTTGCAATGTCATGCAACATTAACATTGTTTAAAAATTGGATCAGTAATTTCAATGTTGATTTTAAATGTTTTATGTATTTGTTTATTTTATATATTTTTATTTTGTTACATTATAATTTTATAACACTGTCACACTAAATTGAAACATTTCTTTTCATTCCCTTCTCTACATCTAGCTGAAATTGTATAAAAGTCAATACATACAGAACATTCTGATTTTGATGAATCAGCATCTTTCAGCAGAAAAACATTCTACTGTATTGGAAAATTTTCAATATGTTTATATGCCAGCAAAAGATGTAGCACCAGATTAAAGATATTTAAGCACCCAAAATTAGACAGGCCACTTACAAGCTAGTCAAAAGCATCTGAAGAGGTTGGTTTCCAAAATCAGCTAGATTTCAATTAGGTGATTTTGAAAAAAAAATCACACCAAGTACCTTCTGCATCTTTAGATGTCTAAATATTATTGAAAAATCTGTCTCCCAGTATTTTCCCTACTAGTTTTCACTAACCAGAAAGGACTTGGATTTAAAAGAACAAAAACATTTTATTGTGAAGAAAGAAATTAGCCATGAATATACTTGCAAATGGAGTTTCCTTTTGCAGAGTATAGAGGAATGTCATTGTTTCAAATTGCTTTTCAGATAAGCAGTAGCACGCATCCTTGGAGGGAGCAAGGAAAACAATGCTTCTCGGATTAGCAAGCACAGAAGTGCATGTGGGCTGAAGTACCTATAGACTGTTCATGTCAGACAGATGCAAGAATGCCTTCCAACGCCATCCCAGGCTGCAGGATTCAGATGCAAAGTATTGCACAATGAAATCTAGAGCTCAATGGGTATTGAGCAAAGATAATCTAAAACAATAATTGTCAAATTACTCTTTTGATAAAATATGATTCAATTAACTCCATTCAGGTCTTTACAGGGTAAATGCTAGTGGATTAAACCTAAACCATATATTCCATCTTTTTAGTATCTTTCTCACATTAGAAGACAGACTTCATAAAATTTAGAGATGGAAAAACCTTGTTTACCAGCTAGTGCAGCGCTCAATGAAATCAATTAACCCACAGTAAAATTACATTCTGGAGTCCAAGTTCTGTCCTTACATTTGCTTCTACAGTTTCCATTTAATTCAGTGGTAACCGAATGCACATATAAGAGAGCAGAACTTGTCCCTGCAATTCAAGGTCTGGATTTTCCCTGGAATTGCTATCCCAAACACATGGACAGAAGGATAAAATGCAAAGGATGAGGTTGAATGAGATTGTAATTTATCAGTTTTGCTCATCTGGGAACTAAACAGTAATGCTCATACAGTGCAGGTCATCAACACTTCTTTAATCATTTCTTCCTGATAGAATGCTACTGTCAGCCCTCTCCCCACACACACCTCATCTCCCCACTGCTGATCCCAGCCTATTTTGGTACCTCATCCTTCTCTCCAGATATGAGGATTGTCAGGCTAGGGAAAGGGTACTGTCCTTTTGCTGTATAAGAGATCAGGTTCCATCACTCCACTCTTCAGCTTCTTTAGCAGGGGCTTTTCCATATGTCCTTTCCTACTTTCAGTTTGTTGGAGAACTGTACCCCCATTTAAGGATTATCTGTACTCAACACTTCCCATCAGAAGATGCCAGCAATTAGCCTGCTAGTCTGTGAGTGAGGGGGTCTCTGGCTAACGGGAAAAGATTTATATACTTTCCCCCAGGTGCATAGTCCCTGCCAGCTCAGGTGATGCTTCTCTCCTCCCCCTCCCCCCCCACTCCCATCATCTCCCATTGCCAATCCCATAGGGGGAGAGAGTTTTAAAAGACCTTCTACTGAATTTTTTACACAAAGTCAGGCCTTTGAGGTTGCTAGGCATTTTTCCACTTACCAGTTACATAAAATGCAGAGCAGTTGTGTTTTTCTGTGCTGTTGTCGCTGTAGAAATTCTGCAGTTATTTTAGCAGTCTTCTGAAATGCAGAAATGTGATAGAATCAATGACACCAATACACAATTCCATACTTTACATTTTCACATTTTGCAGACAGGACAGATTTTATTCTGTTTCCCAGGAAGTTTTCTTTTGCTAGACACTATTCCATTGATATTGAAAGGGCAACAACATGAGTGAAGGAGATATTCTGGGCCTCATAATGAACTAGAAAAACCTGCAAGAATCATACCATAATAGAGCAAATTTTCAAATAGTTCATTTAATAGTTTGGACAAGAGGGATGTGTTATATAGGCCATTTTGTCCCAGAAAAATTAATTTACAAAGAGATGGAAATCAGCTTCCGCTTTCTGAATGAAATCTGAGCCTATATCAAATTAACCAAAAGGAATCATAAAATTTTAATTATGGAATTTTCATAATTTTTCCCTTTCTAGCAGAAATGTTTTCACACTACTTAATTTTTCTGTTTCTGACGGCAGTTTGGCTAGCTGACTGAAGTATTAAATGTGATCAGTCTGGAATCCGCTTTGACATATTTTGTGCTGAATCAAGAGAATGCTGACTTGCTTTAAAACTACTTTCTATATTGTTGAAGCAAACTGGTATTCATCTAAGAGAGCTCAGTTATTTACAAAGAAAAATATCTGACAAATATCAGATGGAAAAAATAATCCAATTTTTATATATGCAAGGAAATGAGAGATGTATGTTATTTTAGGAAGAGAGCTTAAGAATCATAAGGCTAAAGCATCATATGCAAAGTAAGATTTCAATTTAATATCACTTTATAAGTATGTTAATAGAAAACTGTTTTTAGACCATATAAATTCAACATTATATTATTCTGTAGTTTCCACATAATTTATATTTACACACAAAAACCTTGATCAGACCTGTCTACTATCTATCACAGAATATTTTGCATGTATTTTGAAAGATAAGTCAAAACACCATGTATATTAACAAAATACAGCTTTCATTCAAGACACCTCAAATGTAGTTATTTAACATGTTATTAGGTACTTTTTGATTTTAATAATAAAGAAGGCTTGAGTATGTTATCTGAAAGCTTGGGAATCAATGTATTTAATTTATACATACTACCTAAATAAATCTATTTAAAAAGCTATGTCTTCAAGTAAATAGCCAGTTTGAGCAATCAAGTCTGAACTTGATTTATCAGTAAATTAATCTGACCTTCCATATATGAGAGGGTCAGAAGGAATACCTTGACTTCCCCGTTGTGCCTATTTGGGGGGAAAAAAGTCTTTAATTACATTGTTTGCTACATGTTTGTGTCTAATTTTGTATGTTAACATTTCCATATAAGACTTAAAGATCTTGAATTCACTGTTAAAGGTTGGAATAGCTATTTTCCAACCTACTGTTGTTCACATATCTCTTCCCTGCTCTGTTCTACTCAAGCCATGCAACTAACCTTCCCCTTTGTCTCCTCTTTCGTTCAGTACCTGAAATTCGTCACCTCCTCCATGATGTGATCTGTTCCATACCCTAATTCTTAAAGACTACTCTTAAAACTCACCTTTCAATAGTTTTATACAAGCTAATCTTTCTGGTAGTGAAAGTTGATTGATTACACCAAACAAAACCTTTGAAACTAACTTGACGCCTGCTAAGGTACACTATACAAACACTCCCATTTTAGTTTCAAGATCTTCCCCAAATTAGGTTTCCCACTAAAGGATAGGCTTCCAGTGTTGTCCCCCTTTAGAAAATGGTAGAGGAACCAAGACCATTCTCTCCACATCTTTCCAGTCCCGAGTTCAATAGTATGCTGCTAAATTCTGCACCCTGGAATGCTATGGGGCTTTCTTCCTGGATTACTTCCTACCAGTCCTCTTTCTTCCCACCAGGCAAAATAAAGATTTAAACACCAGAATAATGGTCTGGTCCTCATTGGAAAATTGTCAGCTTAATTACATTGCTACATTGAAAAATCCACCCCCCTGAACAGCATGGCTACGTCTAGACTGGCATGATTTTCCGGAAATGCTTTTAATGGAAAAGTTTTCCGTTAAAAGAATTTTCGGAAAAGAGTGTCTAGATTGGCACGGACACTTTTCCGCAAAAGCACTTTTTGTGGAAAAGCGTCTGTGCCAATCTAGACACGCTTTTCCGCAAAAAAGCCCCGATCGCCATTTTCACGATCGGGGCTATTTTGCGGATAACAAATCTCAGCTGTCTACACCGGCCCTTTTGCGCAAAAGTTTTGTGCAAAAGGGACTTTTGCCCAAACGGGAGCAGCATAGTATTTCCGCAAAAAGCACTGATTTCTTACAGTAGGAAGTCAGTGCTTTTGTGGAAATTCAAGCGGCCAGTGTAGACAGCTGGCTAGTTTTTCTGGAAAAGCAGCTGATTTTCCGGAAAAACTGGCCAGTCTAGACACAGCCCATAGGTAAACCGACTAAACCAACAAATTAGACACTGCTAGATAGGCACAAGAATTCTTCTCTTGATCTAGCAAGCTCTTCTTAGGAATTTGATTACCTAGGCTGACAGTAGAATTCCTCTTGTGAGCATAGCTGGTGGCCATGCTGAAGTACTACAGCAGCACAACAGTAGCATTTCAAGTGTAGAAAAGCCCAAAGGCTCAGAACAGGTCCTTTCTTTGTTGGCTTAGTAAGATCATTATCACCAGGCTTCAGGCAGTAAAGGCTTCTGTATAGCTTCTCTCCAGGAGCTCAGAGTATGGAATTGTTCACCTTCACAATGTGCCAGGCAAAATACTCTACTCTCCCTTTTAAACTCCATCCTACACCCTGAGCATGCTGATGCTTTGAAGGTATTGTGGGATGGGACAGCATGAGCCCAGAGCAAGTCTTCGGCCCTTTTTGTTCCAAAATGGGTTTGTATACCCCCAAAGGGCCCCAGTCTTGAAAACACTGACCTTAGCACATATGGGAAAGCTCATGGAATTCATATATCTTTTAAAACTGTGAAATCATGAAATATATTATGTTTTATGTTTTAAAATTTGACCAAAATGAGCCATGACTTTGGTAGGACCTTAGGTATACTTAATTCTTTCTTTCCACTGTTACATGAAAACTCATGATATATTATTGTTACTCTAAGATGCCACAGGACTACTCATTTTTAAAAGTGTTCTGTGCTATTATTTAGCTCCAGCTTACCCCTACATGTCTTCTAAGAACCCAATAAGCAGTGGAAGTGATGGTAATGCTGCTAGACAATATTGATCTCCTGTGGTTTGGCAAATTCTCTGGTTCTGTGCTGGTCAGGTCCCCATGGTGTGGACTAGAGAGGTTCAACCTGTACTACTTATGAATTATATCTCCACTCTTCACAGCATTATCAGTGTGACATTGTCAGCCGACGGTCAGGGCAGTGTGTGTGTGTGTGTTTCCGAGAAAAGGTTTAACGTCCGTGCCTTTACTGCTAGGACCGGGGTCCCATCGCAGAGGGTGGCCAGCAGGCCAACAGACGCCCCGTTATATAGGAAGAGCTTATTACATCTTAGATTTCAGCTGCTAGAATTTCATAATTCCTTCGCAGCGGGCAGCCTTGAGGAAAGACTGAAAGATGCCCCAGTGGGTCCTGTCACCTGGGAGTGACACAGATCCAAACGCCCAAGCTCTCCCTATATCTGTCCCTTTATGACCGGCTGAAGTTCTTTTAAATTGTGCTTGGTTCTGTTACAGCAACTGAAGGAGTCAGGTTAAAACTTAAACAGTTACAGGTTTATTTGAGGAAGCTTATAAATCATATGGTTGCAATGGCTATTGTTCTATTTCTTAACTATTAGCAAAATATAGGTCTTAAAAATGGTTACAAAGAAGATAAAGATAGAAAAATAGAAATAATGGTACCAAGTAACAGCTTACTCTTTCTATGTGTACACTTAAGACAGAGGACCACATCCAGGTACCATTTTTACCCCCTTCTGTGCCTCTCGACTCCAGCATGTCAGGCCAGGGCCGGTCCCTCAATTCCTAGGAAAGACGAAAATACGAGGTGGGCGTCCCCATAGAACCTCGGGAGGTCAAACACCTAACCCGACCAGCAGGTAGAGGGTAGAATGACACTCAAAGTGAGTGTGTGCTGGGCCCATCTTTTATAATCATGGGGTCACGTATTTCTCTTTCTTATCTGTCATGCCAATTGATGCTGGTCTGTCTGCTGTGAGACCAGTTCTTACAAGGGAGTTGTGAACTTAATTTACACTTGTAAGAGAGAATTGAGATGATTAAATTTTGAAGTACTGGACATTGTTTTCTCAGTGGGAAATTCCTCTTCCTGGGACTGTGTGTTCGAATCAACATAGGTGCCAGCCGACACTTCTTGCAGCCTCGAGCTTAGCTTATTTCCTTAATCGTTACTCAGAGTCAGAAGCTTGCATATCCTGGTCAAAGCAGATCAAAGCTTAATGGCTATGCTGATCTTCTTATTGTTCCTTCTCTGCTCTGTATACAGACAGATGTCTCAGAGGGCAAGCAAGATTGTTTGAGAAAGGGGTGGGCTGCCTGGCTGCAACACCATGTAGGTCTGTCTTCATGAGTTAGGCTGCAGGATTGTGTCTTCAGATTGAACACTGTTTGAGGCAGATTTATCTTTTTACATATCTGTAAAGAGCCTAGCGCAGTGCCTTTGTTATGTAAATGAAAATAATGGGGCAGATTCTCAGTTTGTGTAACTTGTTATAGCTCAATTGATTCACTAAAATAAGATTTGTAAGAACTTTAAATCTTGTGCTTACTTTTTCATTCATGATGTAATGCAACCTGAAGATTTTACTAGTCTCAGAGGGGAAGCTGTGTTAGTCTATAACTTGAAAAACAACTTTTAAAAGCAATGAATAGTCCTGTGGCACCGTAGAGACTAACTAAGATATAAATATAGACAGTGCCATAACTAGCTAATTGTGCCCCCTCATGTGTATATATTCATAGTAGTTATTTTGTAGAGAAAGGGAAAATACATACATAACAATAATAATAATAATAACACCACAACATTTATTTATTATAGTTATGAGATCTGCATAAACAATCAATTAATACATATATACATATAATTATAAAATATCACCATGTCAGGTACTATTAGGTATTTGTTTATAATTGTACTTTGTGCGCTTTT